AAAAGATAAAAACAATGTATGTATGGATTTACAGCATGTATATAATATGGAGTGAAATCTACATGAAAACAAGGGCACAATATACATGAAAACAAGAATATACGTAAAGGTATTATTTCAATAGTAAGAATCAGCACAAAGCTGCTTCCTATGAGGCGGAGGTTAAAAATGTCCCAGATTTCCAGCTTCTCCAAGCTGCTGTACCACTCTATCATTTGACGTTAACCATTCTCCCTCCCCTCAAGTCTCTTCTCTCTCTGTTGGGTTAGGTAACTTGCGCAAAGTCTCACAGAACTCATGAACATGGTTTACTAGGGAAGTAACAGGCTACAACTCAGTATCAGCATCAGGAAGCACGCATACAAGGTATAGAAGGCCTCCCCAAAGCGGAAAGCATATCCCTCCCTTCTTCAGTGTACGACAGCTCTCTCAGCCATACACACCCAACTCTCGGCTGTGCATACCCCCTCAGGACAGGCCTCTTCTCAGCTCTCCTCTTGTCCCCCTCACGACCATGCATGCCCCCTCACAGCCATGTACAGCTCCTCTCAGCTGTGCACGCCCCGTCTCAGCTGTGCACACCACTGGGCTCTCTCCTTCTGGCCTCTAACCGTCTTCAGTGTTACAACCCTTAAGCTGTATTATAGCACTTCTAGCTCCACTGGCAAGTCTTCTGCCAGAAGACGCTCAGCTCTTTCTGCTTTTTCTTTCTTTCTTCTCTCCTTGCCTGTGAGCATATCTATGTGGTTGGCTCAATACCACTGGGTAGGTTTTCAAGCCACTATTTGCGTAATAGCTGACCAATTCCCTTGCTGGACTAAACTGACCAATCCCCTCACTAGATGGCAAGTGGCTCCATCTATTCGCATAATAACTGACATTTTCTGCTTGGTAGGGACTGGCTTCTTCCCTGGGCAAAAGTAAGAAGCTTCTCCAAAGAACTAGGGCAACTGTAACAACTCCTCAGGGCTTAGGAGAAAATCTCTGAAGCTGTTTCTTTTTTTTTTTCACAGACTCAAGGCAAAAGGCCACATGAAGGAACTCATTTCGCCACAGAAACATGTAAGAAAAACAATGGCATTAAGGGAGTAAATGTGAATATGCAGTTGTAAGAATCCTGTAACTTATCTAAGTAGTTAAATATTAACTCTAAGTATATTGCGGTAAAGGAGCCCTGGTGGCACAGTGGTTAAAGAGCTCAGCTGCTAACCAAAAAGTTGCCAGTTTGAGCCCACCAGCCGCTCCACAGGAGAAAGATGTGGCAGTCTGCTCTCCTCCAGATTTATAGCCTCAGAAACCCTATGGGGCAGTTCTACCCTATCTACAGGGTTGCTATGAGTCAGAATCGCCTCGACAGCAGTGAGTTTGGCTGGTTGGTGGCACCGTGGTTAAAACGCATGGCTGCTAACCGAAAGGTAAGTGGTTCGAAGTCACTCCACCAGAAAAAGATGTGGCAGTCCGCTTCCGTAAAGATTACAGCCTTGGAAACCCTATGCGGCAGTTTTACTCTGTCCTACAGGGTCACTAACAGTTGGAATCGACTCGAAAGTAATGGGTTTGGTTTGGGTTATATTGGTATAACTTTAAGATTTGAACTCAAACTGTAAACCCTAGAAGAACTGATTTAAAAAAATGAACCACATATAATTAGAAAGCCAACAGAGGAATAAAATAGAACGCTTTTAAAAAACTGACACAACATGAAGCAGGAAAGAAGGTACAAAGGAAAAAGAAACATATGAGACAAATAAAAAATGGTAAAATAGCAGACCTAAGTACCTAAATACAACCATATCAATAATTACATTAACTATAAATAGACTATTCCTACCATAATGTAGGGACTGTAATATGGGACAACAAAGTAAGAAATTAGAAAATAACTATAATTTGTCTCCAAGATACACATTTTAAATACAAAGTCACAAACAACAAAGATGTAACACGCAAACATTAAGCATAAAAAGCTGCTGTGGCTGTGCTAATATCGGACAAAGGGCAGAGGGA